AATTATAGCAGTTTCAGAGAAACTGCTATGTTTATGAATGTTAAGCTTCCCTAATTCTCTAGTGGCTGTCTCATTGACAGTTACTAGATGCGTTCTCACTGTGATTTTCACAGTGAGAGCACGCTAGCGTCATAGGAAAGCATTGTAAATGCTTTATGAGACCGCTGAATGCGCTAGCTCTTGCCGCGCGGCGCATTCAGCCGGCGGGGAGGATCGGAGGCGAGAGGAGGAGAGCTCCCGCCCAGCGCTGGAAAAAGGTAAGTTTTTACCCCTTTCCCCTTCCAGAGCCGGGCGGGAGGGGGTCCCTGAGGGTGGGGGCACCCTCAGGGCACTATAGTGCCAGGAAAACGAGTATGTTTTCCTGGCACTATAGTGGTCCTTTAAAGGATATACAGCCTGCCTGGGCACCTCCAAGAAAATGCTGGCTGCACTCTGTCGGGTGCAAGAGGGAGCACAAATTACACTGCAGATCGCGCGCCTGGCATCACTCTCCATGAAGTCCCGACTCCCAAACAGCAGGGCAATGCAAGAGTGCCACATTCATGTGCTGCTGCCCCTTGTCCTGCACCTGGGAGTCATCTACAGTGTGAAGTGTAGCAGAACTGGTTTTCAGTACGTTCCGTTGCCCGTACTCCCCCCTGTTAGCTTCCCGAACAAGGATTCTTTCTCCTTCATTTACCGAACCCTGTGCTCCCCTGACTCTATATCTTCCCTCTCCCCAACGACATCGAAGCACTCTGTCTGGGTGGCCACCATTTGGTGATTAGACAATTCCGTATGGATCCGGGCACTATTTTGACTACTTGGGTGCCCGGACAAGAGCGATCCGGGGATATATGAAATGTTGGGTTCCTGTGGGGTAAAACTGTATTTTGTTTTTTTAATTATATTTCATGTTTGGGCTCTGTGTCCAGGGGATAATTAAATTGATGGTCGCTGACTCAATTGTCTCCCAGACACAGAGATGCCTGGGCAGGCTTACAATGTAAATGAAATAAAAACAGATGAGTGAGCGCTAAATAACACAAGTGTGCAGCAACCCTAAAAAGGGAATCCCTCAAAGACCCTTTAGGATAAAACACAAAAAATACAGAAAAAGGGCTGCGCTTAAATAATAGATATATAAAAGTCCAGATGAAATAAATACATAAAGCAGAGAAGGTCTTATCTTGCAATGTCCGTAGTGCTTAGTCAGAAACAATAATCTTGCTTTCTGTCTTTCTTGTGGATCGTCTCATATGTAAGATATAAAAACAAATACAAAACCACAATGGTGCAGTATATCTTAATGTGTAAAGAATAAAATATAAAGGCTTGATTGCGAACTCACATATCCAAGAGCTAGGACCTGCTCTGGTATAGAAGGCGTACAGCGGTTTAGATCCCCGCTTATGGGATATAGGATGGTTTTCCTCCACGTGTTTCCTCCTTCCGTGGTGTAAAAGATGCTCAAATAAAAAGAGACAGCCAATAGTGTTCTCTGCGTAAAATTTAAAATCCAATATAAAATAAAATAAAAAATGGATACTCACAAGACAGGAGCAGGTCAACTGCTCCTGGTATTTCGCACTGGTGGAATAATCCCCACCTAGGATTGCTTGGAGTCCAGCGAATGATGCCAGGTAATAATAATAATTATATGTGTATTAAAAGATAAGTAGTACAATAAAAGATTATAAAATATACTTTAATTGTAACATTACACAATATAAAAAACCATAAACGCGTTTCGCCAATCGGCGTTATCAATATGGGTAAAGAACCTGATACCTGGCAATAGATCATTTAAATAGCATACTCAATTAATTCAAAAATTGGCGCCAAAATTTGGTCAGCCAATCAGATTGCAATAAAAAATTACATTCAATATAGCACTAATAAAACATAATCAATAATATGCATAGGGATAGGACTAAAAGAGACATTATAAATTATATAATTTAACTTTAAAAACGATCAATGGTTATTGAAAAAGAACTCTGAGATGCACGGTCACATGACCGGCATCGAAACCGAAAGGAATTATGGGGTGTGTAGTTCGACGCCGGCCGGCACTGCGCAGCCGCCGGCGTCGTGAAGGGGAACTGGTAGCTGGCGTCTGTTCGCATAACAGATGCGTCCAGACGCCAGTAGGCGGAACGAGGGGCGGGTGTACTGATGACGGCGGCACGCACAAGACAGTGGCCGCCGTCATCAGGAAGAGGGTAGACGACGGCTCACACAACGCTGTGGCCGTCGTCATGGAGATGAAGCACAACAGGGTCGGCAGGCTATGGCCGAATGGAGGAGGGGGGAAGAGTAACAAATGACAGTAAAAAACGCATATAAATAAAATAAAATAAATGGAGGTAATTATTAAAAGAAAAAATGATAAATAAAATAAAATAAAATAAAAGCAAGATTATGTAAGAAACAGCAGATAAAAATCAACATCATGCCTGCTCTGCTAAATAATAAGAGCAGGCATGGTGAGTGAGCAAAACAATAGAATACAATGTTGGGTTCCTGTGGGGTGAAACTGTATTTTGTTTTTTTAATTATATTTCATGTTTGGGCTCTGTGTCCAGGGGATAATTAAATTGATGGTCGCTGACTCAATTGTCTCCCAGACACAGAGATGCCTGGGCAGGCTTACAATGTAAATGTATGGAAACCCCATACTGGGGCTCTGGCTATAAAAAAACTTGTCCTCGAATAAAACTTCAGTTCTACTCCCAGAACTGTGTGTCGTCCAGGTACTTGGGGGTTAGAGCTATTCACTTTACAGCGCCTTGTTCCAGTTCCTGAAGGATTTGGTGGAGAAAGTCCTTGTCAGGTCTAGAGCTCAACTACAGGAAGCATGGCAGCAGGATCTCCCAAGACAGAAAGGAAATGCAACGGTAACCGAAATGTGCTTCTTTCAGTGCACCCAACCCCCACCTGAGTATGTAAGAGACAAAGGAGGGCTGTTTACTGTGTGTGAGTGTTTGCTGATGTATGTGTTTAGCAGTGTGTTTGTATGTATGTATATGCATTAAGCAGTATCTGTGTGAATGTTTGCATGTATTTGGCAGTGTCTGTGTGTGTATGTATTAGAAAGTGTGTTGGTATTATTCATTAGGCAGTGTGTATGTATGTATTTGTTGTAATAAAGTGTCATTTCTTTTTTATCCTGTGAGTGCATACTAATAAATAGAGGGATTATATATATAAAGATCTACTCTATGTGTCTGTCCCCTTTTTTCTATATTTTCGTCATATATGATGCTGAAAAATAGAGCTAGGCACAATACAAAGATACCTATACAATGTACAAAGCTTGGTAGACTACAGAGATTATTATGCTATTATGTTATCTATATAGCGCCAACAAATTCTGCAGTGCTTTACAATGGGTGGACGAACAAACATGTAATTGTAAAAAGACAAGTTGTACACACAGGAACAGAGGAGTTGAGGGCCGTTCTCAGTGAGCTTACATGCTAGAGGGAGTGGGGTAAAGTGATACAAAAGGATAGTATTAGTCTAATGACAGTTGCAAAAGAGGAATCAGTCAGGAGCTATTAACAGCCAAATAACAGAGCCAGATTACTTTAGAACTGCAATACAGAGATCCCCACATAGTACATGTCTCTGTAAATATCCCATCTATCTCTCTCTTCCTAACCCTCTCTTAGCCTTCCCTTACATGATCTCATCTTCAGTAGTGCTCCTGCAATGATAACTTTAGCTTTCCATTAGCTAACAGTGTGCACATGGTTAAAATTTCAAGATACTAATAGACTCCAACCATATCAACTACTCCTGACTCATTATTAGCTCTCAGCACACAGTGCACACAGTGTTAAGGCAGCAGGATACTTATAGACTCATTATTTCCTTTCCGATTGACAATATAATTAATCTGCAGTGATTATATGGAGCAAAGATGTAGCTGATATGGTTAACAGAATCAACACTCATTAAAACAGATTGAAATCAGAATCAGATCAGTCCTGACAAAGCATCAGTGAAGATGTAGTTCACAACATCTGGAGTGCCAGAAAATACCTACCTGTCCCCTAGAGGTTATCACATGCCCCAGAGGGCAACTGGTAGGGATCAGCATGTGTTTCAGGAGGCACCCTACAGTTCCTCAATGGGCATTTGGAAATGGCTTTTTCCTCACCAGTGGGTATCATTGTCCAAGTTGAGAAGAGTCCCCTAAGCAATTCAGAATGTACCCAGCCAGCTGGATGACTTTGATCAGGATACATTAAGCATTCTGTATTGCACTGATCTATATTCATGAATGTAAATTATGAATGTACACTGAACAAAATTATAAATGCAACACTTTTGTTTTTGCCCCAATTTTTCATGAGCTGAACTCAAAGATCTAAGACTTTTTCTATGTACACAAAAGGCCTATTTCTCTCAAATATTGTTCACAAATCTGTCTAAATCTGTGTTAGTGAACACTTATCCTTTGCTGAGATAATCCACCCACCTCACAGGTGTGGCATATCAAGATGCTGATTAGACAGCATGATTATTGCACAGGTCTGCCTTAGGCTGGCCACAATTAAAGGCCACTCTAGACCACAGATGTCGCCAGTTTTGATGGAGTGTGTGTGCACGTGTATGTGACTAATATCTGTCATGGTTTTTTTTGTAGAATAACTCTTTTCCTCAACCGTATCCATACTTGTTTTTCTGAGCTCTGATCATGTACGGTTGGTTAGATATATTCTTTGTGTAATGGCTCTGTGCAGCTTACAACAGGCAGAGAGCCAAAGGTCACACATCAGTGCTCAGTTCAGCTGCATAATTTACAAATCTGGCCAAGGTCACCAGATTACATTACCATCCATCATTAAACATTTTGTCTGACCAAATAGCTGGTAGATATGTATTTTCTACACTTTGTAAGCTATTGCTTTATGTAAGTTTAAATAAGCACAGTTATTCAGAGTATATGAAATAAACAAGAAAAAAACTGTTAAATAAATAATCCTACAGTTAAAAAGAAAAACTGGAAGATGGCGGCAACGGCAAGCTATGCACCATCACGCCATCCACCGCGACGACAGACTGCAAAGCAAGTCCGGCGAGACATGCCGGGTACAGCATGGAAACATTACATGCAGTCCTCGCAGCTACATCGCAGCTCAGGCTCACAACAAGCGAGGAGGGCTGGTCCGGGCAGATTCAGAGGGGCTCCAGCTGCAAAACCCATGGAACCCAGGCACCCTGCCAGCCTAACGAAGAGTCCACCAACCCAGGAACCTTGCTCTGCTCGTGCATGGTGTCAGATGAAGGGAGAACGGGACTTTGTCTCTAGCATGGTGCCTGACTATCACCCCTGACTCCAACATCTGCTAAGTACTTGTCTTGGTACTAGAGACTTTCATTTCACGTCCAGATCAACTGCACTTACTATTACTACATCACTAGGGGTGACAATGCCATGTAACTATCAACTGCCCTTTAACTAATCAGACACTGGAGACGGGCAGGCTTGGGGGGCCAAGTAATGTTTTGTTTTTGCTTTATTCTCTATTGTTTTGCCTAATTATATACATTCTCTGGTCTACGTCTGCCACCTCACGTTTAACATATATGTTTAAAGCATGCCTAACCATTCACGACTACCACTCATACATAAAATACGTCTGCAAATTTTGACCTGCTCACAGAGTAATGTTAATAGAGAATGCAATGTTGAATGTCAGATGTAGTAGCACTGCATATACTATAAAAGTTTCAAAGCATGTTCCATACGCTTGTCTACACAAAGCTTTATTAAAACTACCTGTCACATACTACTAAAAAGAACTACTAGATTATCCCTTGATTTAAAAACGTGTAAACTAGCAGTAGCTCGAACTATATAAGCATGTTTAACACTCAACTTGTTACATAATTTCACTGTTAAAAACATAAAAATGTGCTATGTTTTCGATGCCATACCAATGTTATAATATGTTTACATATCTGTCTGCACCAGCTGTCGTGGCAGTGCAAACGTGTTTGTTCTTGCTATGCACAAATAAAATAAAGATTTACAAAAAAAAAAAACTGGATAAAAACAGTAATATAGAAAGAGTATTTGCAAAATAGCTCAGCATTTAATATAAATATAGTAAACACAATGTTACTATAGCTAGAAATGCAATTATGCTCCAGGGCAGACAACAAAACACACAAGGGTAATAAAATAGGGGTCTTTTAGTAACACGTATAGTATGTGTAACAAAACGCACATAGAGTCCTTAAAAATATCCGGATAGCAATACACAAATTAGTTTTTAATTCAGAATATGTGCGTATGGCCCAGACATTATAGAACAACCAAGTAGAAAAAGTAGACAGTGTTTAATATCCATAAACTGAAATCTTGAGTTTATTATGACACAGTTTAATATTATCCTGAACTTGAATTTCTGTCTGCAATGCTTACTAATCCTAAAGTTCTCCTTTTTGGCAGTTGTGATGCAAACAGTATCAGAATCAATTAGATTACAAGTTTACAAAGGTGGGTGTAAAATATCTTCTAGTGCAATTCTTTACAATGGATAGCAAGACACTGGAAAATTGTGGCATATGTTGGAAAACAGATTTATCAACAAAGTAGTTAGGAAGGTAGTTTCCAAGGGAAGAAAGTAAGCCACCTTTCACAGATTCTGTAAAAAAACCAAAACAAAACAAATGCAAATAAAAAAAACAAACAAAATAATAAAACAAACACATTAAATGGACACTATAGTCACCAGAACAACTACGGCAAATTGAAGTTGTTCTGGTATGTATAGATTGTCCCTGCAGGCATTTTCATGGAAACCCTGTCTTTTTAGAGAAAAGGCACTGTTTACCTTAGAGCGAGTGTTTACATTAAAGATGGCCACTGGAGGTGCTTCCTGGTGCAGTCCTGCACAAGTTAAGCGTCTCCACACTCTGCATGGAGACACTGAACTTTCCTCATAGAGATGCATTGATTCAATGCATCTGTATGAGGAGATGCAGATTGGCCAGGCCGGCGTGTGGCCCGCCAGTTCTGATGATGTTAGCCAAAGGTGGCACAGGATAAAAGGTACGTTTCAACCATTTCTAAGGTGTCTATGGGGATACAAGCCTCTTAAAAGGTGGTTCTAACAGTATAGTGTTCCTTTAAGAGGCAAAATGTCTATAACTAATGAAAACTTTGAGGCTAGATTAGTTTTTAACTGATCTCCATAACCAGGATCATCCATAGTAGCATTCCCTATCCGTAACTTCAGGTAACCAGTATCACAGTTGTATTCTTCAACTGTTTAAGGTAGATAGTTTAGGGTAGTGACATTACGTAAAATCTTCTCAACAAAATCAACATGTAATAGTTTTTGCCTTTCACATTACAACACACACAAAATGCTAACGTACACACAGAGGTTTATTCTATAAAGTGAGAATTATTGGGAATTCAAAGTGAATTCAAGTGAATTTCATATTAAAAGCCAAATTAGAGTCAATTGAATCATAAATACATGAATACTTTTTCCAGTTTGGCAATTTTTTCCTTACATTTGAAGTTCACGGGGGTGTGGCTGTGCAACGGCAAAACCGTGTTTAAGAGGAGTTCCGACAGAGTTTCAGCTAATAGACCTGTAAATTGACCCAAAAGCTCCATGGACACCCCATCTTTACTTACCCCACCAGCAGACACCATGGGCCCAAACATAGGAGGTTTCAATACCCAGAAACCCCCGAATTGCCCAACATCAGGTTGTGCTTTGAACGTCCCGCTTTATCTGGCGCGGCCAAGAGCAGAGCCAGAGGCATCAGAGGGGCTGAGTGGACAAAGTAAGAAGCCTACCTCTCCCCAAGAGGCTGACATATCTCAGGACTCTGAATCCGATGAGGACACTTCCCCAGCAACAAAAGGGGATATAAAGAGCCTGCTGCAAGAGGTGAGGAAGGTTTTGAAGGCCGACCTCCATGAAGCACAAGCCGAGATGGATATTCTCAGACAGAGGATTGATGCAGTGAAGACAAAGGATCAAACTAGAGAAAGCAAGTTGCAGAATACCCAGAACCAAGTAGACAACCTTAAACAACAGGTTCAGACACTCACCAGGTCAGTCACAGTGCTGGAAACCAGACATAGGAGACGCAATAAACGTCTCAGAGGAATTCCGTAACAGATTGGAGGGGAAGCACTGCTCTCTTTTGCCCAGAGATTAGTGGCATCCCTAGGCCTGAAGGGGGGTATGGAGCGCTCAATCCTCACATCTGCTTTCAGGGTCCGCAAGGAAGTGGCCTCCCCACCTGGAGCACCAGAGACACTATAGCGGTGACAGCCGATGTCATAGTTCGCACCGCCATCATGAAACACTCTAGAGAACTTGGAAACATCAGATTTAAAGGATACACAGTGGCGATCTATGGAGATCTGCCATTCACCATACTAACGGAATGCAAACGACTAGCCCAGATAGCCACACAACTACGAAGCACTGCAATCAAATATCGTTGGGGAGCCGATGGTTCCATAACTGTGACACACGGCAATACCGGGATCACCCTGACCTCGCAAGGGGACTGTAGCGGAGATCTGGTATTACACATCCTATCTCCACTTTGGATCCCAGTGAGGCTCAGGAACAAGCAATTATAAATCTATAGGGCAAAGTATCCAGCAGGCAAAATAACACAGCAGTATCCCAACAGCACTCCCAATAACTGGACGACACACAGTATCAGGAGCAGAACTAAAGATTTATTCAGACAGTGGCCTTATAAAGCATGCTCCCATGCAAGGGAGGGATTTTCATTCATTAGTACAATAGCCAATCCTGTTCTAGTAACCTCCCACACATCTCCTCCCCTCAGCCTGCATCATAATCCCCTTATCCAGGACACCAATTCCCCACATTTCTGGATATACCCCTAAACCTAGGGGTACCACTTAAAATTATACATCCCCAGGTAGCCCTGATCTGGGTGAACAACATATCCAAAAATCACCCAGATCAGAACAGGGGTTTGGGAAATTTATGGAGGGAATAAAATGACCGACCGCGCTGGAAAGAGTAGCCGAATTGGGTTCCATGCGATGGGGCCCTGCGGTCGGTCCTGGAACATGGGAATAGTTTACACGAAAGCCTCCAGTTACAGAGACTAGGGAGGGTTCGCCTGAATCCCCTCGTTCGGTTGTTTCTAGTTTGGAACCGAACGGACCGAGCTGGTGGAGGTCTCAGTGGTGTTCGCCTAGTCGAGTGTCCGAATTGAGTTCCAGACACTCGACGACAAAACACCGCTGTTCGTGAGTTTTAAAATGGCCGCCGCCACGTGTTCGTTTCCTGAATGGCGGCCACCCCCGAGAACAAAGGACTGCTACTCAGCTTGTCAATTACCCGTTCGCAACAATGTTGCAACGGGTAATTGAAGGCACACTTCACACCGGGGAGGTCTGACTGTTCGGTAGTTTCATTCCCTTAGCTGTTGGAATGATTCTACCGAACAATCAGACGAATACAATACATTTAACACATATAACTTTGCCATTTACACGAATGCAGTCAAAACTTATGTAATTCTCAGGACAGCCCAGTTCCATCCGCTACAGGGACTCTAATGCATTCTTGCAGAGACTGCACCTGGTTGGGAGCCGTTCTGAAGGAACCCATATATCGGAAGCCCCGACCTGAAAAGCGATACTTTAATGGGGACAGTAAGTCGTAGTCCCATTATCCAGTCTATCTTGCATAATTATTTCATTTATACCAATTATTTTCCTTATATTACATTATGACCATTCCTAGCTCAGACGCACTACAGAGACATGTGCATATACCTACCCTCATAGGCATACCACTACCTGTTAAATAACTAGTGTCTATTATGTTGCTACCACCTGAGTACATGTAGTTCTCTGATCCTGCTTATCTGTACATGTACCTCATATAATGATGCAGATGCTTCTTGGAATTGGAAACTCCAATCAAAAACACATTGAAAAAAAATAAAATTTGAAGTTCACTTTGAATTCCAGTCAATTCTCACTTGACAGAGTTACTGCACATATTTAAACACTGCCACACACACAATGACATTCCACTCACAAAGCCCTGTCAGAATGGCATTGCACACACAGAAACACAGCCACAATCACAACACACAGGGGCAGAGACACATAAAAATTGTGGAAAAGAATGTCATTGAGAGGCTGTGGAGACACTGTAATAACCACAAGACCAAAGGAACACTAATGAAGAATATCTCAAAGAGGGCATTATTACCCTCCAATGCATGCTTCACCATTATGGAGATTTTATATTCCATGATTTTGTTAATGCTAGGATTACTGTTTTAGTGTCTGGATCATTGC